GCACCGCTTGTGCTGTGTCCTAAGGCTGGTGGAGGCAAGATTGAAGCTTTGTTAATGACTAAAAACAAGGGTTATATAAGCCACGTGACTTGGACGTACTGCCATAGCGCCCTCTAGCGGCATCATGTGCACGTGAACCCCCGACATCCACACGGTGACCTTTACTTTGATACGCCACAACACGTGCTGCATACTGGGAGCCGCTCTTAAGGGGCCATCCATTGAGTAGGTACGCAAAAATCTGTCAACTTGAGCCCTCCCTGGTACGCACGCAAACTTTTTACACCCAACCCCCCCACCTGCGTACGTACGCCTGACGCCCCCCCCCAATCCTATAGAACGGCTGATATTTAATTCACGCAGAAACGATGAAGGATTAATAATATTGACGTGTTTAAGGAAACGGATAGTCCACCGCCGGACTATCTGACTCATTTGAAGGCCAATATCGACAAATTATTATCGAGGCTTCACCCTCCTCCCCCCCCCCCCCCCCCCCCCGTTTCCTATGCGTACGTACATTGGCAGTAGACCCCCCCCCCCCCCCCCCCCATACGCAAGTGTACGCATTTGGGTTAACCCCCCTCCCCCCACCATGCGTACGTACTAAATGGAGGCCCCTAATCTATCTGTTGTATGTTGAATTTATTTCGCGCCGTACGTAACCAACCGTGCTAATTCAGAGGTGCGGGGGGAAGGACAACGAACTAAACCCTAAACGGTTCTAAAGAAATTAGTTTTCAATCTCGATTTAATAGTGTATAGCTCGATTGGCTTCCTGAAGGAAGCGCGTTCCAGATGGCCGCACCACAGTCCATTGGCAGGCATGAAAGAGAAGGCCAAATACACCCGAAGGGTTCTCTAGAGCTCCCTCTGTATTGAGGCCCTTTCGTCAACAGCGGTGTGTTCGTTGTATGTTGGTCAACACTATTTCCTTCGTTATTAGAGCTGCAATGTTGCCACAATTTTCTTGATGCAGTCGTTGGTGGCACTCGGTTGTTGGTCCCATCAACTAAGGCCTTTGATGGGTTGACTCCTAAATATCTTGCCGATAAGCTTTAGTTTTATATTCCACTGTGGGAAACCTCTTCGATCTGTGAGTCTGGTCTGATTATTATTCCAAAGTTCAGATATTGTTCTATGGGAAACTGAGCTTTTTGCAGCCAGGCTCTGCAATTGTGAAATTCTCTTCCTTGGTCCATTTGGGAATCTTGAGTGTTATGCTTTAAAAAAATATGTTTTAAACTCTCCTGTTTGTACAGCCTTTTCTCCACAACCTAAGCACTTTGAGTCATTGTGGGAATTGCGCTATAGAAAAACAATTATTATTAAATATACTTGAATCCGGTTTACTTATGGGGAGCCACAATGCAGATTGTACCCAGGATCTCCGTAATGACGTATGGGTCTCCTGGCAAGGTATTAGCCCCCAGAATCGGTCACCTATCCTCTCTTTTCCAGTGTACCTTGTAACTCGTGCATATCGACTCCTTACTTTTCTTTGATTGTACCTGGATTCGAACCCAAAATTTCAGCAGTGCCGGTTATGTGCTGCGAGTTTTGTTCAGCGGAGGTTTTTTGGTGAAAACGGCTTCTGCGGAAAATTGCAGCTGCTGCAGCAATTCAGCATCTGGGGCAGCAGTGTCCAAGTACATTACGGTGAATTGTCGAGAACCTAGTTCCTAGCAAATGCTTGACTATTAACTCTGAGACGTGGGAGCTGCAATTCCATCTTCACCGGAGTGTCGAGCCACTAATGACTGCACAGGGCACATTCCCTAAACATCTGCTGAACCCATGAGCATGGATTAACAAGGAACATCATCTGCAGGAGCTGCTGTATATAGATTATTGATGTTTCAGAGCTCACCATTTATAGATTTTTTTTTGTCTGCTACTTTTTGTATGATCCATGAAGAGATTTTTTTTTTAGGGTTAGATCGCAATCTAACCCAAAAAATCCTTTGGATAATATTGGTCGCGAAAGCCTGCTGTGTTAAACTGACCAACCTCTTTGGTTTTTCAAGGATTAAAGAATTGGGGTTCGTGCGCCGCATTTTTTATTTATAAGTGCTCTGTGCACTGCAGTAACTTGTCACGCCTGAGGTGGCGCTTTTGCTGTTTGTTGTGGTTCGAACCCAGCAGCCACCCTGGTTAATAATGCGGGTGTCTTGAACACAAATGCATGCCCTCCTGCTTTGCTTTCCAGTGGATGCTGAAGGTCCCCATGGTGGTATAAAAATAATAAGAAATATGTGCCTGTGTCACAGTCAAAATTTGCCTAGTGTAGAACATACATAACAAATTACTTATTTTGGGAAAACACGGCAATACGGCCACCCTACTGACACGCTCGTTGACATTTTGCTTTCACGTGATAGCCTTGAGCTGTAAGAATGGGGTGAATGCCAGATGTACTCTTCATGTATGTTGAACTTATTTTGCACCATATGTAACCAACCGTGCTAATCGTTCTAACCCAAAAGTATAATAATAGTTATAATTTGTCATGGGTTCCTTTTTATTGGTGCCGATTCCCTGGAATGTGTCGGCTCTTGGGCCCGGGTGCTGCTGAGGCTCTGCAGTGCCAAGTTTGAGTAGTCTGTGCCTCGAGGCCATGATCCACTTCAGCAATTTCAGGGCAATCATTGCTGCCAATCCTCACCGACAATGCATCGACAGTGAGCGATTTTATGGCGACTTTGGTGGGAGTAACCGTTCTCTTCAGCCACTCGAAGGAAGCCCTTCGGAAACTGCATGCTACACGAGGATTGGTCTACAGATTGTAAATTATCTTGTTGATGAGGGATGGGGTAGGCCAGCAGCACGAGTCACTAGTTGGGTCATTGTCATTCCGTTTATGCAGTCCATTATTGCTCGTCACTCGGTACAGTACAACACATTACTTACAAGAAGAGCAACCCATCCAAATGCTTCTTGTTCCTTCTGCTGAGATTTAGCTCGTGCTCTGTGTGGCAGCGGCTATTATGTCAAGCGCAGAAAGCGTGACGCTGTCAGGCAGTCGGTCGCGTGACCTCCGATCTAATCAGAAGTTGCCACTCCAGTTGCCCACTAGGGAGGCAGCTTTGATTAGAATTGTTCATATTTTTGGCAATGAGATTTTTACGATGGAAAGTACTGACAATCATTTGTCGGCGATGATTGCAAGAAATGATTGCCCTGAAATTGACGGAGTGAATAATGGCATTAACCGCCGCCCAAGTCTGGCATTTCCACCCGTCACACTGGCCATGTTTGGGCTCCCGTTCCCCCACTACTCTGCTCCACATGGACCTGGCTCCTGCCCTGGCCATGTGTTTCCTTGCACCAGACCCTGATGTAATTATTACCTTCACTTTACACCGTTCATTCCAGTCGTTTAATGCTGTGATTTTTAATACTTGACTTAGAATTGTAAGATTGTGAATTCAAACCTCGTGTTGGGGTTTAAGAGAGGTGTACAACATTGTTTTGGAGGTCGACACTGGTTGTGTTGTGGGGAGGGGGCTGTGGGTGGACCCTGGCACAAAAAATGTGAGTTTTGACCACCTGGCTCAGCACTTTGAATGGATCTGAGCACCGCACTTGGCTTGGGAGCATGAGGACCCCCTCGCATTCGGCCGTCTCTTGCATGACCCAACAAATTGCGCAAATGACGAGTTGGTCTCAGTCCCGACCCGTCAAAACATCGTCCAAATCTACACGTTGCGCCTTGGATCGAATTCTGGAAAATGTTTTCTGATAATTTGTTGTACAAAAGTTGTTTTTGTATTGTTGCGTGGCCCAGTTTAAGTAATAAAATAACTAGACTTAAATGTGAGCGTTTTTTCTGGAATGAAAGTTGGAATTTTGTACCATGGGTCCTCAGTGGTGCTGGTGCCGTGTTAGTTTTTTTAAAGTTTTATTTTAACCAGATTGTGGGAACTCGAGACTGGGATGAGTTTTTCATTTGCAAGGGTGACCTGGGTTGGCAAATATATCCAACAAAAGCAAATAAAATGAAGTACAGCAATGAAGCGAATACAAATTGGAACAAAAAATACAATTGTCATGCGACGGCTCTAATTGCACGAACATAAATGTTTCATAATACATTGGCATGTAGTTTTAGCTTGCTTCGGCAGTAATTTTACATGGACTGTAGCACAATTTAGAACTTTAGTTATAGACACATTAAGCAGATATATACAGCGACTTTGGTACTGTGTAAACTGTAGGTTACACGAATCATCAGCTTGGCACCAAGTTGTGAATATCGTGATGTGGGCATTGTATTAGTCGCGGTGAGGCACCCGACCAATGCATTGAAATCATCCATGTTTACAATCCAACGGGGTGTCCCCGCTTGCCTTGTTCTAAGCACTCCGAGGTCAAGGTTCTGTTCCTGTGGTGATCGGGCTTTTGCCACTGCAGATCCCAGACCGATGGAATGCTTTGTGCCTTTTTGCTAATAAGACGGTTGAAGTTGTTGGGCCTAATTCAAGTCCGGTCTCTTAACTCTCTCCTCTTTAGATTGGCCTTCACCCCCTATTTTTGGTCGTTTTCTATACTCTGGTTCTCTTTATCACCTGCTTTCCATACTTGGGCGCAATGGGATCTACGGATGAAATGCACCTTTCAAATGTAACTAATTAATATTATTATCGATCTGTAGGATGTAAATTACCATTTATTTGGATGGCTTGTCATCTTCTCCCAAGATTGTCGTGCAATGTATTGACCCTGAAGGGAGACTGGCCTGATCAGTCTGGATGATTTGACTGAACATCTTCGTGATGAAATGTTACTGATTACTCCTGCCATGATATGCTATGCCATAATGTTGATTTTTACTGACGTAAGATCGATGCTCTTTTCTGGAAAGTCATTAAAGAGACATTAAATTGGCAGTTCAGCAAACGGCAATGAGAGCTTCCCCGTCTTCTAACGTGCACACAAATTAATATTTAAGATGCCTTTTTAAACTTTAATGCAATGTCTATTTTTATATATCTGCTCAGGTCCAAGTGTATGGAAGTGTCACTACAAAGCTGTACCTCCCCACAAGGTAAGAGGCGTGCAGAGAGCCTTCAGTTTTTGTTTGTGCACGTGTGGTGAGTGGCAATGATTTAGTGGCACTACGCTGCAATCTTGGCAACCTGGATTACATTCCCAGCCATGCATGATGGCATTGGCAAGTCGTTTCTACAGCTGACTTTGCAATTCCTAGGTTCATTTAACCTGAAATGAAGAGTGTTATTTCCTACTCAAATGAATAATGAGGTGGAGCGAACGGCCCTTTATCCAGTGGTGGAAGTTCTACATTCCATGACGGGCTGGTCTATCCGTAGGGCAACCACTGTTGACCTGCTCTACAAAGTTGCTACCAACTTTATTGGCCTCGGAGGGATGATTGGACAAATCAATATCCAACCAATATTTGAGCTCTCGCAACCTTTGCGATTGTAGGCCGCCACCTGCTTTACTACCACTCAGCCACTTGGCCGTATTTAAATGAATACCCGGGACAATTTGTAAACGAGTTTTGTAGGAACACCAAGGCGGCTGGATGTCGCGACTGCCACACCAGCACCCTTCGCGTGCCACTGCTTAACGTGTGCTACCCCGGCGTCAATAGGGGCTCGCTGAGCAGCATTCATCCTTTAAAAAAACAACAAGTTCCATTTCATACTTGCCTCGGCGATCTCCAGAAGCAAATTACAACTTTCTCCTAAGGCTGTTGCCAATAAAAGGGACCGTTTGTTTCCATTCACACTGCTGGGACATGAGGTACACATCCGCTTGATTTTTATTTCGTCACCCAACATTTCCCCCCCCCTCCCCGTTCTCTTGCAGGCTTTAACGTAGGACACAAATTAGTCCGCTGTGCTTGGTCCCGTTTTGATGAAACGCCCCGTTATTTATGCGGGTGGACAAGTGGCATTTTATTCGCTGGAGGAGAGTGGTACATTTCTGCCAACAAAAAAATCTTGTGAAAGGGAGCCTTTTTTAATAAAATGGAAATGAGTGTTGTGCTTTGATGGTGTTTGTACAAGCCCATTTTGAAGCACTGCCCTTCCCTCAAGCATGCTGGCTGTGTGTAACGGGGAAAAAAAGTGCACGTTGGCTTTTTAAAAGCTATTAAAGTGAGTTGAAGACATGTGCAGTGTGGGTGTCCTGTGTTGGAAACACTCCGGATGGCGTGCATGGAGAGCTATTTGGTGCAGCGCGCGATCGTGAGAAGCGCCGACAGAGCCTCAAAAGCCTCCTGTGCGCAGCAGACCTGGTCCAGGCTGCAATCGGATTCCATGGCTCGCTCACAGGGCTTGTTACCGCTGTGGTGGTTTTGCATTTTTTAGGTCTGTGACAATGCACTCGCCCCTTGTGGGCCTATAAAAAAAAATGTATTCCTAATGCTGTGATGTAAACAAAGTCTTTGTGCGCGGTTGCTTGCGTGCATTGCGAGCGTAGGAATCGATTTTAATCTCCGAATTGGTGAATTGTTACACCCTCGCTTGTTACGGATGCAGCTTTATGCTATGATAATTTGCGTAGGTGACACTATTGAATGAAAGTTACAAGGTCAAATTTTCGTAAGGGTTCAGCTCGATCCATCTTCCCTCCCTGGGGTCGGTAAAATAAGCAACACTCTTTTGGAAATTCAACAATTATATCTCTGGAGAGGGATGATGAGTGAAATCAACCGCTGACTGGTAGTTGAACTCGCAATATTGTGATTGTGGTGATGTTTTTGGATTTTCTCCCAGGATAAGTAAAGATTCTGATTCTGTATATACCGTATTCTGCAATGCTAAATGGGCTTCCTTTTGCATTTTGTGTGTGCGCACGCACACTGTTATCTGAACGCAGCGACATCGACCTGGTGGTGTTTGGGAACCTGGGGCCCAACCCCATTTACGCGCTGGAGGAGGCGCTGCGAAGGCACCGCGTGTCTCGGCCCGAGGCCATGAAGGTGCTGGACAAGGCACGGGTGAGTGGAGTCGTCCGCTGCTGCTTGGGGCTGGCCGTAGGTGACCCATATTCTTATTTTTGTATGGCTGATATGTAGATGCAGAGCAACAACTACAATCTCGCATTCAGGTAGTCAAGTCGGATAACCGCGTCAGGAGCAGCCGAGTGTATCGTCGTGATGTCTACTTCATAGTTGTGGATCGGGCGTTGCGCCGTTAGACGTTGTGCGATCTGTTCTGGATGACCACAGTCACACGCTGGAGAGGTTTTAACGTTCCATTTGTGCAGCGGGTATCCGCATCTGCTGCCATGCTTTGTGCGGATGCAATTTTAGGGTGGACCATGAGCTTCGTGGAAGATCAAACCCAGGGATATTCTAACCCATTAAGTGTTGGGATAGGTCTGGAAGGGAGTTCGATTTGCGCACACGGAGGGTGATGCTCTTGAGATATTGGAGGCCCCCAAGGGAATATGTGTGGAGATAAGGGAAGGATAATAGGAGGCAAGATGATCAAGAGGTCCCAGGAGTGAGGTCATCTACGAGGTGAGGTTGACATGTTAAAGGGTGCAGCTAGGAGGTCTGGATGAGGGTAGGATTAAAGTCATTGGGAGTGAGGTCGTGGTTTTATAAGTGACATCGGGATGTCCAAGAGATTCGGGCTCATGGATGGTATGTTTTTAGAAGTGGGGTCAAGAAATCGTGATGTGCTGAAGCTCTGGGGTGACGAGGTCAAGAGGCAGAGAATGATGTCTGTTTTGTGTGTGTGGACAGGTGCCCATCATCAAGCTTACGGACGAGCGTACCGAGGTGAAGGTGGACATCAGCTTCAACGTAGACACGGGTGTGAAGTCTGCCCGGCTCGTGAAGCAGTTCATCGAGGTGTGCAGATGCACTCGTCACACTGCTGCATAACAAAGGCTTTTTTGCCGTTTATTACCGCACAGGACTCTGTCTAACCGACCCAGGGTGGCGCTGTCGTTTATAGGAGGCTATGTACATGTACGGCCCCTTTTTGTCCATCCACGGCAGGATGAGGGCCTCCCCATGCCATGCGGGTTATTTTCCAGCACTTCGTGCTGGTTGTGAAGGCTGGAAGCGTAGACGTGGAAGCGCATTGTATAACGATGGATTTTGCCCGCATCGCAATTTGCTGCACAGATTGTAGCTCCGCAGCAGCCGTTTCACAACACCTCTGTGCGTGGTGTTTGCCTATCGAAGACTCGAATCTGCTTGGCCTCCGAGATACGATGAAAGACCGTTGCCTTTGGTGTGAATTGGTCATCGGCTGTGGTTAGAACACCCAGCTCCAAAATCGGAAAGTTGCACATTTTTATCCTGTTTCAGGTTGTCATCTGAGCCCATTATTGCTCGGGGGTTAATAAAATAGGTACCGCTTTGCAGAATGTAGACAACATTTGTTTGGATACGCTGTCTCCAGGCATGTGAATGTGGAATTTCCCCCATTTGACCCCAGGCCTGCTGGAGGATGAGTGCCGCCCCATGCTTGTTTGACAAGGGACACTGCATAGAAATCTTCGTGTAGATCACCTTCCAGTTCGGTAGCAATCCTTAAACCGTGGGTGATGATGATCGTGATGCTGCTGCTTCCGACAGTGGGTGACACTCATTTTGCTGCTGCTGCTTCTAATTGTAGCCGATGCTATTGATGTGGCTGCTGACAACAATGCCGCTCATGAGTGTGGTGAAGATTATTCTACTTCTGTTGACGCTGCTGCTGATTACGATAATGCCGATTTATCTTACGGACGTGACAACATTCGTTGACGATGATAACGACCGATTGTACGTTGCTATATTAACGCGATTCCATCCCTGACCTGTGCCTCACCGCATGTCGGCCCCGTGGCTCGCCCGACGATCCAGGAGTACCCGCTGCTGCCACAACTCGTGCTGGTGCTCAAGCAGTTCCTGCTGCAGCGCGACCTCAACGAGCCGTACACGGGCGGCGTGAGCTCCTACTTGCTCGTCATGCTCGTCGTCAGCTTCCTGCAGGTGCCGCCCTCCCCGCGGCGCGTCTGCTCCGCTCAGATAATTTTACCGCCGTTATCGCCAGCACCCTTTTGGTTACCGAAACATATCGTCGTTACCACCGCCACCATTCTTGTTACCAGCACCACATTTCATTATTACCAACATTACCTTTTCCACCACCACCATCATTCTCATTACCTCCACTGGCATTACCACCACAATTACCATGATCATTACCATCAGCACCCCCACCATCGTTACCATCACCACCACAACCTTCATCACCTTTGCCACCACCATCAATTTCCCCCACAATTGTTACCACCGCCCCAACCACTGATCATTACCACCACAACCTTCATTATCGCCAGCATCACCTTCACGACTGCCATCAATTACCCCCACCATTGTTGCCACCACCACAGCCACCATGATCATTACCACCACTTTAATGTATTGTCGCGTGGTGCGTTAGAAAAGCTGGATTCTCTGCTGTTTGCGGTGGTGCCTACCATCGCTTTGGCGGCATAGATGGGTGGGTCGCAGATGGTTCGATGTGTTCCATGCCGTGTGGCACGAACCCAGACTTTCTGGGCACTGGTGGCCATGGTGAGTCATCGCGGATGATGACGATGATGGCGCTTGCCCAGGAACCCATTGGGTGCCAGCTCGTTGCTTCTAAAGAGGGACTATGATTTCATGTTCCCCTGGGTTTTTCCAGTTCTTCCCAGGTACATTCCTGAATTAGCTTTAGTGTGTGCTTGGTTTACAGAAATGTTTCTAGGACGTTGCTGGAACAGCCCAAAATGACTTTTCCCTTTCCCCTCCATCCTTGCGCTTCATGTCTCCCCCATCGCATTCCTTCTGTTGCTCTGTAGCTGGAGGGAAGCGGTCTTAGTAACAAAGCAAATTTTTATTTTTTTATAAGTTTCACGCCTGATTTGGGTTCACTTGTTTGAACCCAAGCAGCGATATATTTGGTAATTTTCCTTTTTTGTTTTAAAATTAAAACGCAGAAATGGAGTTGACCTGTTATGCGACAGGTGGCATTTTGCCAGTGCCCTGTTTCTTCTCCACTGACCCCGTGCAGTTGCGGCTGCTTCTGCATGCAGCCCGCGTCAAAGCTGAGAGGGGGCCAAAGCAAAGTGAACCCGGATACAGCGCATCTGCTGCTGTGGGAATTCGGATTCTGGTTTTTGCTAGCTTGGTTTGCGAAACCAAACCGGTAGGGCCACCATGGTGGCGAGGATATTAACTTCCTCGCCTGGTATACATGAGGTCATGGGTTCGATCCTGAGCCTGATGCCTGCTGTACATTTGGAGTTTGCATGTCTGTCTTTCCTCCCTGTGGTCGTGTGGATTTTTTTCCAGGGTCCTCCGATTTTTCCCCTCCACATATAGAATTGACATGTGTTTTAGAGTATTTGGCTGCTACAAATTTCCATATAATAACAAACTTCAATAAGCTATAATTTGTGGCCAGGTTGCTTCTGATAAAGAACTGCATAGCTCAGTGGGCCTTACCTGGTTAAAAAAATGTTCAGGTGGTTCGTTAAGTAGGTGATTATAGTTGGCCTGAATTGGGCAAAACTTGGCCCACGTTTCACCCAGGCAACTGAACTGCACAGTCCAATACGGTGTTTAGTTTTTTTCTGGAAGATTTGCTGGTTTATCCAGGATGTTTCTGTTGTGTGTCGTCGCTTTAAGATGTTCTCTGTTCATATTTTGTTTGTTGCGATTGCACTCGACTCAAGAGCCGCATGGCTCACAGGGCTCTACCTAATAAATTAAACTTGAAAAACTTGAAGTTTTTTTTCTAACCTAACCTAACATTAAAACTAACAACATATTCAAGAATCGCAGTTAACCCTTTCCCACTACAGGATGTCTGGAAGTTCCAGGGTGTGTCCCGTTCACCTGAATCTCGGAACACGCAAGCGGCTCTGCGTTAATTTTATTTCCAGGCATTTGGCCGTTGTATTTAAAGACCTTTTATTCACCCCAGAGAACTGTAGCAACACGACCGCACTTTACGATAGCTGGCGCCAAACTGCCACGCCTTGTGGGAGCCTCGGTATCGTTAAAGCTAGTTTTCTATCGGTTTTGTTTTGATGACGTACACGCACGTTATCGGAACGCAAAAGGCAGTAAGACACAAACAACCTATATACTATTAAAAAGAAGAGTTTCAAATAACTACTTTTTTTACTTAAGATCGAGCTCGGCGAGCCTCGCGGCCACCTCTGCATCGTCACGAGTGGCGCATTCTGTGTTTCGCGCCAATGCAGCTGCACGCGGACATCGATGGGCGCAGCGGGGACGGAGACCTCGGCATGCTGCTCATCGAATTCTTTGAGCTGTACGGACGCAACTTCAACTACCTGAAGGCGGGAATCCGCATCAAGGACGGCGGCAGCTACGTGGCAAAGGCCGAGGCGCAGAAGGAGCTGGTGGAGGGGTTCGGCCCTTCCTTCCTCTTCGTGGAGGACCCCGTGGTACCAGGTGCGGTGCTCCGCATTATCGCGTGCCACGGTGGCTGGGAGATGTTAACTACCTCGCCTGCTATACAGGAGGTCTTGGGTTCGATCCCCATCCTTGACTCCTGTAATATTTGAAGTTTGCATGTTCTCCTTGTGGTCGCGTGCATTTAGGGTATTTGGCTGCTATAAATTTCCACGTGACAAGCCACTTCATTGTGCTATCATTTGTGGCCAGATCGCTTCTGAAAAAGAGCTGTATAGCTCGGTGAGCATTCCCTGGTAAAATGAAATATAGTTTTTTATAGTATTGTCATTCATCTTTGCTCGGCTTGGCAGCTCCTCGCCGTTGCATGGGTGCGGCTGCTCGAATGATCTCCTCGACGTTACTCGGAACTCTGCGCCTCCTGCAGTCACGTCCCCATGCTCGCTCCGAATTTCCAACAATGAAACTGATGGGCGTCTATTCATGAGGGATGATGAATCCAGCCTCGCGTTAATTCTTTACGGGTTTGTCGGTGCTCGACCTATATCTGATCACGCTAAAATTTTGTATTTGTTTTCAACCTCATCGGATATCCCATATTCCGTCACCACATGTGCACCGTTCGTTAAGACTTGTTGGTGAATAGTATTGAGTAAGTAAAGTTCAATTTAAATTCCTGCGCCCCCTAAAATCTATTGTTTTCTGAGCTCGCAACTGTCGGAGTCTATTGGCAAAGACACCGTGAAACACTGTCCGCTGACACCTCCGAGTCAAGCCTATTGATGTCTGGAAATCCTTCCGACGGTGACGGTTCCAATTATAGCTTGAGCAGACCGCTTGCAGTATTGCAGATGCATGTCGGCATGTGGATCAAAACGTACGAACGGAGTGCAACAACTATTTTCCTATTTCGCCAAGAAGTTTATGCTACCAATTATTATCACTAATAATCGTTATCACGACCGTGAAACACAGAATATGTTGCCAAGAAGCAATAAAACGCAGCACATTTTAAATATCATGATTGTTAATGTTAGTGTTTCTGCCAGTGCCATTGTATTATTGTCATTGCTATTACCGTTGTTGCAGTCAAGTGAAATTGTCATTAGTCGCACCACCATCGTCATTAGCAGCAGAGTTGTCATCATTGTAATCTGTATTTTCATCAAATTGATTTGATTGACTACTAATTGCAGGATTAATACTAATTAATTAATGCAGAATGAGTGTCCATCGTTATGATTATTATCTTCAGCAACCTTGGTCTTCCTGATTTAACATTTTATTTTATTATCCAGCCTGTAACGTTAAGCGCTGTAGTATTTATAAAGCGCCTCTTGTGGGGCATAAACGCAACGGGTTTTTTTTGCACGTAGGTCGCTGGTATCGTTAAAGCCGGCACTTTCACTCCATTAATCATTCAATCGCTTTTATTTCAAAGAGTGAGAACACAGACTACACGCTGCATTGATGTTCCCTCTTATTTTAGCATTGCCGCCGTACACTAAACGTTGCCGCTTTTTTTTTTCCTCTTTGCGCCGAGTTCGCAGTGCTTTTCAGCAGTGCTTTTCAGCACTGCGAACTCTGAAGAGTGGACGTTTGTCACTGCTATGAAATCTAAATTTATTTGCTTCTGAACAAAAAAGGGACTAAGCCGATTGAAGCGTGTCCCTCTATTTTGAGTCGGTGCCACGCTTCAATCGCAGCGGATAACCTTTCACCGGATGACATTTTCGCCTTTTGACTTGCAATGCAGCCTTCATGTTCGGCTATTGGTTCGGAAGCCTCTTCGGAAATGACCGAATATTATGACCAAATATTGACATGTGCCAGCATTCCAAACACTGTGACCATCAAAAGGTTACGAGATGGGTAAATTGGTTGCTTGATATTAGACCGTCGAGGATATTCCATTGATCTTTTGAAAATGTCACATTGTCAAAAAGGCTTTTGATTGGGTTCTGTAAATGGCCGCTAATGATACAATTGATAGTGCCTCTCTAATGTACAGGCAGTGGTCATTTCCTGGGCAGACGTACACGCACGTTATCTTGTGTTAGGAGTCGCTGCTCATCGAACAGAGACTTTGTGGAAAGGAACCGTAATTTTGTTGGAGGTGCCCTTGGCATATTGATCGCGAGTAACACGATAGTCTGGGAGAGATGGAGAGCGAGTGGTAGATGTATGGATCAGGGGGCTACTAACTTGTAGGAACACTGAGCTGGCATGCTTAGATCTTAGGCTTGAATCAGAGTTTTAGCCAACTGATTTAAATCGGCTTCTCAAGTGAAGTTACTTGAAGTTTCTCAGCCTGATCAGCTCTGCCCAAACAACACATCGCTTTACATTGGTTTGTCACTGAATGTGGCCTATTACATCTGAGGATTAAATATATCAGATGAGGCTCATTACAGGGCATATAAAGAGGTGCGCCTTCTAGTGTGCATAGGAGGCTATTGAATGACCTCAGAAATAGTTTGATGCCTAGTTATTTGGTGACACAAGGTAATTGTTACCCTACTTGCTGTGAAAGTTCCGATGGTGTTTTTTTTGTCTCGACACCACTCCAAATCACAATTGAAATCTAATTGGGAGGGGAACAAAAAACGATTAAAGAACAAAATCAACTCCTATGCAAGTTGTATGATGGCTTGTTTGACGGCAGGAGTTGTCGAACAATTATTGCCAGCGACATCGTCGCTGGGAGAATGTGTGACGACGACGTTGTGGCGTCGGCTTCACATGTTGGTGTGCGCGTCTATCCTCTGTGGCGCAGGTCAGGACCTCGGGCGGAGTTCGTATGGGGCGATGCAGGCCCGGCAAGCCTTCGACTACGCCTACACGGTGCTGAACCGTGCCGTCTGCTCACAGGCCAAGTATTACCCCAACCGCGACCTGGACAGGTGGGCCGCCAGCTCGCTCCCTCGCTCCCCTGTGCATTGCTTGTTGACTGCCGCATGAGCAAGCAGAACCTCCGATTTGGCACGTTTGGCTACATATAATGCGAAAGAAGTTGTGCCTACATGCATACAGAGCCGCTACGAGTCCTCCTCGCCGTCAGCAAGAGGCTTCGCAGCGTCGGAGTGGTGGCCATCTATGTCGGTATCGTCGCCGTCAGAGTTGTTTACTTATTTTTTTATTCCATTTTAGTAGGTGCACAAACCGCGTTGGTCATAAGTCCCGAACGTTGTGTGAGGAGGGGGGAGATTGGGCTCGCTGCTGCCCCACCGAGTGGGGACCGCGAGAGGGGTACGTGAACTTTTATGTGGTGAGGGGAAGGTGAGGGTAGAATAACTTTTTAGTAAGGGAGTAGAGGGGAGCAGGTGGAAAGAAGGGGGGAATTCTTTGCATTGTTAAAGATTAGCAATTCCCTACAGGCCACAGGAACCATGGACAGAGAAGGCTTTTTGAGCCGGTAACTGCGTGCCTGCCGCCCCTCCTCTTGGACCTGTTACCCACAATTCACAGGGAGGTGTCGTGATTGTTAGCAGTGTCATCATTGGCAACAGTGTCAGCAGCATCAGACTAATGGTCGTCTTGTTATCTCCATAAGGGTAGTCTTAGACGGAAAGGGTAGTCTTAGACGGACAACCATTTTTTTTTTAAGCTTGTGATTGCATTGGGTGTCATCTTCGTGGTTCTTTCGGTAAAGTCACGTTGAAGGGAAATAATAAAAATAAAACATAAAATAATTTTCACTAATAATTCTCACTAGTGAGAATGATTTTATTATGTTTTATTTGTATTATTTTATTATTTCCCTTCTACGTTACTTTACCGAAAGAACCAAGAAGATGAATCCCTGCAGTCACGAAAGCTTTAAATCGGCATTGGGTGTTTTTTTTTTAAAGCAGGTGTCCAATATAGGTAAATTTAGTTCAGAATCAAAATCTTTATTTATACTGGAGGAATTTAATGAGCTAGAAAGCTCTTTCACAGATATCCAGTCGTGCAAACCAGTGCTGTCAACTCCTTTTTTTAGAGAACTTTTCAAAGCCTGCTCTTATTATCAGCATCAAAATTCTTACCACTGGTGTTGTCCGTGTTAGCCGCATCGTCCTTGGCAGCCATTAGCAGTATCAACAGCATTATCAGCAGAAGGATGTATGGATTCGTCTGTCTGGCAGGTGATGACCAGGATCCAAGAAAAAAAATGTTTGTCACTTGTACCATCTCATTTATACCGTTTGTAGCTCCGCTAGTTAATTTAATCATCCTCCTATGGAACGTTTCCACATAATTAGCATAGGTTGCATAAAACCTGTCTAAAATCGATTCCTAAATGCAAGATCAGTCTTTTTTTAAATCAATTAATCATCAATGTCTGTTCGAGAACACCGGGATTGGCAGCAGTGTAAACGGTAGCATCGGCATTATCATAAGCACTTGAACAGCTCTGTGTTTTCCCGGCATATCTTTGTTCTTCTAACCTGAAGGCATTCTATGAAGATATTTTGGGAAGAAACATCAGCTGATAACCCAGCTGTATTTCAAAGTCGGTCTCCCTGCTAAAATGAGTCGTACGGGCAAACATTCCTCTCCTTATTGGCTATTAACTAGTGGTGGAAATTCCTCATTCTCATGCCGGCAGCCAGTCAACTCCATAGGTATGTATGTAGACCTTCTTTCACACCGTATGTAGCCAACCGCGCTAATGGGAGGTGCATTTTAATGTCTACAAAGTAGCACTAGTTTATGGGCTATGGATTGCTGTTTAAGAGCGTTGGCCCTCTGACTGGAATTTAACCTTGTGGCTATCCAATTGCGAATCCTTTCAGAATCGGAATGTTTATTGAGACTTGAGGAATCTGTGAGCTTTTAAGCTCTTTTTCACACGTTTATACATTTTACCCCGATGTTGTGTATTGGCTGCAAAGTTAATTTTAGTTTTAACTCAGGTGAAAACCGGAGATTGGCATTGCCTCATTTTCGAGTGACCTAGGGCATTAATCTGTCGTTAGGGGGCGATAATTGCATTGTATTGTCCCAATTGCAGGCACATTTGAACCCGGACGCTGGCACACAACGGCCTGCTATTATAAATAATGTCAGGCGATCTTTGCCATCGGCTGAGAATCAGACTGTGCATAGTATTATTACGGTTGTTACAGCCACAGTAATAATCAGGGCAGCCGCCGGGTTCAAACGAGCAACCACGGCAATGAGTGGCGAACGCTCTACCGCAGAATCAGAATATTTATCCTGGAGGAATCCGATGAGCTATCAAGCTGTTTTTCACAGATGTTTGCGGCACCGCCCTGGTCGGCGACTGTAGTTTAAACGAATTTTCAGTGCTGCAAACTAACGTCGCCGTTGCTTTGTGTCTGTGTGCGTACGCGTGTGCGCCGGGTGGGGGGGCGGCCACAGCACGCTGGGCCGGATCGTGAAGGTGACGCGGGAGGTGACGGAGTACCGCGAGTGGATCCAGCAGACGTGGGGACTCTCCCCCGTCACGCCCGACCTCTCCGCCTTCCCCTGCTCCCTGCAGCCTGCAGGCATGTTGTTGCTCTCGCCGTCGGCGCAACCACGTGGTTGCGCACGTGGTTGTAAGCGAGCGCGTGCGGTCATACCGGTTGGGCGTGCGTTGCGACGTGGCTGATGGTGACGCGTGAAGAAGGCAGATGGCCTCAACGGTGTAACTGTGTGCTGGTCACGACAATGCCTGCATGCAGGTTCTCACTGCACTTGAATGAAAACGCAGATGCCCACACAAACCTACACACTCTTGTCTACCCACTCTTGTACACAAAGACAAAAGATCCCCTGGGGGGGAGGTGCTGTTAGCCAGCACGGCACACGAGGGGGTGGGTGGCTATCGCCATGCCCTGCCACTATTGTCTACTCATTGCTGATGTTTACACACTGCACCAGATACTCGTGAGCCTAAGTTGACTTGGAAAGCCCAGGACCAGTTAAAGTATTCGTCATTGTTTTTGGTTGTGAGCGAGAATCCAACGCTGGTCGTCGGGTTGGTAGTGTAATGCGTTACCCACGATCTTACTGCTCCCCACACCTCCTGCACACTTGCACTTGCATACAAACATACACACATTCCAACATGATACTACCCAATGCATACAAGCGTACAGCAACAAGTGGTGGTGACGTCAGTGACTTTTAAGCTATGTAGAATGGCGAGGGCTCGCTGGCAGGTCCTCATGGAATGGGTCCCATTGTCCTGGATTAATGGACTACCATGACTGGGCACATGTTCCAACCGCACTTCCCACTGCCAGCTAACTGCGTTTCATCCACTCGGTGCTCTGCTCATTGTCATGAGCATCACTCCTCCACCTCCCAGTTGTTGATCGTGAGCAGCAGCAGCCGCCAGCAGGTGAAAACGCTCATCTCGTGCGCCTTCTGCGCATCGGCTGATCCTGCCAGCACTGGTACCAGTGGCCAGAAAATTCACGACTCCTCCAGGTCCCTTGGGTACCACACAAGCCCATCTCTTGTATAGCCCTGTACTTTGCGTTTTAATATCTTCTGTTGGGCGAAACAACAGGAGCTGCTTGGTGATGTGGTCACTGCGCACACCTGCTGTCACATGAGCACACTTGTTGCGTATGGCAATATGTTCAGGGGCTGAATGTCAGTTTGCTAGCCACGAGAGGGCTTTAGGAGAGTTTGTCTAGTTTTGCTTTTCCATTCATTGAAAGAGTGCACGCTCCAGTTGTTTACTGTATGGAAGGGGTCTTCGAGTGCGCCAACTAAACATTAAAGGACTCTTAAGGCCTAAATTACTTCCTGGCCAGAAACGTAAGGGAACATGAACACGCTGATAGAAATGCACACACGCAAAGATGCCCCTCGTAGCCTTTCAGACTGTTGGGGCAAATGCTCTTTGTGAGAACTTTTTAAGAATTGCACAATGCACCCGAGGGGGCCCCTGGCCTGTTCAGATATTCGCCACTGTTAGTTGTGGCTGCAACTTCAACTCTGGTCGCCAGGTTTGACACGCAGCACGCTAACTACCACGCCACCTTTCCACCGTTGCACACACACAAGTTGCCCACAGAACGTGATGCTATAGTTCCCCTCCTTCCCTCTTGGCCAGACTGCATTAGGCTTCAGGTCGACAGCAGCACGCTCGCCACCGTCACTGCTGCACCCGCGTACACGCACGCACACAGAATGGCTGACGATGATTTGCCGCTGTAGCCGCCCCCTCTCCTTGCCTAACCGGGCGTTGGGCTTCAGGCCACCGGGTTTGTAGTGCCCGTGAGCTTACCACTGCCACCACTCTACCCTGCACGCCGAGTCGGCACTCGTTGCTATAACCGCCCTTCCCCTCTTGCCGACAGCATCGGGCTTCAGGCCGCCAGTGCCCGGGCTCCTCGGGGGCGTGCGCCCCGATCCACGTCTTGTTCTGCTCAAGTGCTCGTCGGTCGCCATCGCTCCGTCGTCGGCCGGCAACGGCGTCCCTCCCACGCTCTCCGGCGTGGGAGGGGCGGCACCCGGAGCGGCGGTGCCGGGAAGCGGGGACTGGGAGGAGGGTGGCGGGCGGGGAGGCAGCAGCGGCGGAGGAGGAGGCGGCAGCGGTGGCGCCGTGTCTTCGTCGTCGGACTCGCGCTCCAGCAGCCAGCAGGTGTCGACGAGCAGCGGGTCTGCCGCGTCGTCTTGCGAGTCGGCCTCCAGCGACACGGTGAGCGCCGCCGCGTGGGCTCGTCACCGCCAGCCGCGATGGCGAGACGTCTTGCTTTGAGACCATTTGTGAAACTTGACCAATACAAATAGTCCCCGAGTTACGATGATCCGACCTTACGATATTTAGATGTTACGATGGCGATAGCGATACGACAAAATTGTAAAATATTTTAAATTTCACGCGGCAGGCAAACGCAGCCGCGTACGAATCTTGGTGAGTACAGTCCAGTGATACGTTACGATACGTTCAATGCATGAATGATACGTAGCTTTAGCGATTTCATTTTAGGGTTACCACGATATGATACGTTCAATACATGTTAAAACAAATTATAGCAGATAGGATTGTTTCCTGAAAAAACTTTCTCTGAAATTGCAGTTCATATAGGTAGGCTAGGAATTTACCTTGTTCTTTACTTTAAATTTTACTGTGCAATACAGTATTGTAATTAATAAATACATATAGTATATAGTTTATACAGTACGGTACTGTAAATTGCTATGTTTTGCTAAATTATCACCATTCTTTAAGACTCCTGGGTAGGCTAGGCCATCTTCGACTTACAATATTTTTGACTTACGATGGGGTCGTCGTAACGCATCTCCATCGTAAGTAGAGGACTACCTGTATTTTCTTAGTAGCAGTGATATTATTGTGCAGATGACTGTTAACAGCCATGATAGCCTGAGTTTCAAGACCATGGGAGGTTTGGTCAAATTTGACAAATTATGTTTGGCATGGGGTAGGCAAAACCACAGTAGCGTAAAACCCCGTCATTTCGGTATTTCATAATTCGTAATTGGGGAAAATTTGGAACGGCTGTGCTTTTGGCATGTATACAGTATTAGTAATTCGCCACGAGCCAAATCGGTGTAGCGAATGGTCCAATTTCGGCAGACCCGTGGAGCGGTGCCGCTCACCACGACCAACACTGACTCAGTCTAGAGGTGGAACCCGTGGTGAGCGTTTGTGCAGACCGGTTGCTTTGGACTTTACCTTGTTTATGCACTCTGCAAGCAAACCCTCTCCGAAATGTCGTCTACAACTACATGAAGAAGTAATCAAAAGGGACTTAAGTGTAAATTCCTTAGTCTGAGAGACAAAGCCACAGTTTTGGATGGAATTGATGCAGGTGTGTCAATGCGTATGGTGTGTATGAAGAGTTTCACATAAAATCAAGTACCCTTTACAGCGTCAACAAAGCCTGGGAGAAGATGAGGAAGCATGTAGTCTGACAATGAGTAATGTGGTATAAAAGTGTAATATAATGTAGTCTTTAAGTAAATATTGTTACGTGAAAAATGTGAAGTTTTATGTTGGTGTAATTTGGTATTTACGTTATAATTTAGTGATAAAGGGAACGTACAGTACAGTAAGTGCATTTAAGCCCCCCTCCACAACCTGTCACCGACCACATCCTCCTTCGCCTGCAGTGCTAGCTACTCATGGTAAGTGTTACTTTTTAGTAAAATTATTTTTGGAGAAAAAAAATAGATTTTTTTTTTTGGGGCAGGGGAGGCACTGGCGAGTACATTATTCGGAATATTTGATAATTCGGCAAAGGCCCGAGTCCCATTTGCGTCGAATTAACAAGGGTTTACTGTACCTATAAAACTTGTGCATACAAGGGGGTGATATTTAATTCTCTATAATTGGGTTGAATCATCTATTGAACTGCAATCTGTTGGCTACCTCGGAGCGGACGTTGGCATCTATCCATCTTTTGATAGTCCAAGTACAGTAACGCATGGCTACCTCTCCCACACATTACTCCCCTCAACCATTGCCTCTAAGAATTGACCGTCTGAGTCACTTGGCCACTGCTTTGGAGGTCTCTCGTGTCACTTGGGCGGTTGCGTAACGTCGCCTGCATGCATTCCCCCCCCCCCAGGACTCTGACAACCCTGCGGCCCGGCTAACAGCGGTGGTGTCGGCAGCCTCGACTGCGAACCCAGCAAGCGTTGCCTCTCCCTTGCACGATGTCGCACCCACGCCGGGTCAACCACAGGTAGCCGCTTCACCACCCGCGTCACCGGGGAGCGTCTGTCCAGCGGTGGAGAGTCGCAGCCGAACTCGAATCTCGAATCGCCACTATTGTCATTCTCCCTCTTCAAAACTCCACCCATCTCCTGGCTCAAATGTTGGTTAAGCACTTGTCTCCAATGGTTATTTTTAACTGTGGGTGGGAAAATCCCGCATTTCAATTGAGGTTTTAGCGGGGGGGGGGGGGGGGGGGGAGTAGAGGTCTGACGTACGCTTGACCCTGCCCACCAGCTGTGCTTGAACCTCGTGGGTGGGGGGGTGGAAGAGGAGCAGGTCGAGGGGTTGGCCACGTGCCTCTCGTGGCTGCAGCACTTTGACCGTTACTCTCCAGACTTGGGCAGGGGGAGGGAGCTCTCTAACCCTGGGGGATTTTCTAGGGGGTTGGCGATGGGTCGTGGCTGCTGCTGCGCACTATGGGCACATTCTCTCAAACTTGGCTTGGGATATGACCTGTATGCAGGCTTCAAATCACCCCTGGTGATATTCTACAAAGTGGTACTTGTTTTGTTGACCTGGAAGGGATAATGAGCTGTGCCCACTGATGGAAATTTCCTGATCTTAAGATTGGGAATCGAGCGACCATACCATCCTTTTGATTCCTTTCTCCTGCCAGATTTTCACCATCTTACACAAGCAATGCCAAACCTCTCGGTCTGCTCTTTCATCACTCCTTTGGGTTTTTCCCGAGGTCACCGATACGTGGGTGCCACTGCAGTTCGTCTCCATAACCGGCCCATCTGGCATGATGATGTTGCTGCGTGTAATCCCCGATTTTAGCACGGTTGTCTACATATGGTGCGAAGAAAGAAGTTCTACATACGTTGGTTTATATTTTAGCATTGGAATTTCTGGCCAATGCCAGTTGCATTGTATGTTGTTGTTTTTTTAGTATTGGAAAGAAAGCGGAGAATACAGAGGACATCCATGCAGAACAGGGGGCGAATATACAAACGGCAGACAGAATGGCGTCCGAGCCGGAAATCGAACCACTGCGCCACCCTGCCACGCAGTAACCAAGGTCTCCTATCAATATTGCCAGTCGATCTTCACTGGTGTGGGGATCCGCTGTCTGGAACTCCCCCCTTGGTTGTAAACACTGCTAAGTCTCTCTCCACCTATTCGAGTCGAGGCACGAGTATTATACAGCACCTATACCGGACTACCTCCCTCCATCACAATCCCCTCCAACCCCCCTCGCCCACCCCCCACCGGTTATCTTTTCTGTCGCACGGCGTCTTGGGATTCGGCTATATTTAGTGTCAAGCTATGAAGTTACGCCTGTATATGCTGTTGTAAGGTACACAAGCACACACGTCCACGCGGCACCTTTTTGGTTGTTGGAGACCCACACTGCGAGGTTGTCCCGTGCCTCCACCACCAGGAATTCATGGTGGGAACTTTGCCCTCGGGAGGATTCCCGTGCGCGCCCTTTGCTGGGGCGAGGGCTGCCCCCGACTACTTGCTGCCAACACCGGCTCCCTACAGCGCGGCCTACGAGCCCGTCCGGAATCCCCGCTATCGCCAGGTGATTTCTTTTTTTTCTCTCCTCCCCCAAACTCCCCCGGCACTTGGACAGGCGATACGCTTGCCCCGGGGTTTGTTATGAACGGTTGGTGTAGCAATTCACGGTGACATCTTTTGCACCCAGTGGCAGTGGCCGCTCGGGGGTCTGAGACCTAAACTTGACATCGCTGAAATGCCGAATTTGAATCCAGGTTTCGGCTGCCTGTCATTTTAGCTGGGGGACAGGTGTGTAATGAGTCGGCGTTCTCAGTCTGCTCGTCAATATTTGCATGACAAATACGTAATTGGATATGTGGGTTCTCGGTTGTCGTTGTTAAGGCCGCTGCTGCTGTTGTTGGTTTTTTTCCCAGGTGGATGATTACAGGTACACCGTGCCCAGAGATGCCCACCCCCACTCGGGGCCCAGCGATGGGCGTCCGCCCGCGTCGGGGAGCAGCGGCCGGACGAGCCACAGCTACCACAGCATGCGGCGCAGGCACCGCCGCGGGCAGCATAACAACCACCAACCGTAGCGGCCTCCACCGTCGTCGTCGCCGCCGCCACGGCCACCTACCCACAACAGCCCTGGCAGCTCGCATCAATTTTCCTCTGTCGAGGCATCGACAAAAGGGTCAAGGCTCGTGATTGAGTTAGACCCCCGTTGTCCTGCTGGGGTAAGGTTCAGGTTCCGATCCTTTGCCAGAATCCACAGTGATCCTGCTTGGGTGAAGATTTGGGTTAAATTCCTCGTGACTGAGATTCTGGCCCGACCACCTCTGGTCCTGCCAAGGTGCAGGTTGTAGAGTCTAGCCTGGGCCAAGAATCCAAGGTGAGACCTCGGCTGAGGTTTTAAAACTGGCCACTCCGTGGCTTATTAAGCGACAGCGTACAAGAGCAAGTACACCAATTTTGCTTGTGCCCACAGTCGTGTTGTGAAGACTCTGCATTCATGCCTTTCTTCCAGATGTCCTGCCTACATCAGCCCAGAAGCAAAAGAACATTGTTGCTTGTGTGGCTCTTTGTTTTTTTTCACATGAGCTGAATGGCTTTCATTTTTATATCCGTGCGGTTATTTTATTGCCACGTGTCAGGACGTAGAGGTGGAAGGAGAAATGGCAACAACCGTAAATAAACGAAGAAATCTGTCGCGCTCAACTGCAAAGGAGGTTGCAAAGAAATTGTGAATTGCTAAATTCCAGGTAGCCAAAAAATGAAATCTCATTTTACCCTTTTTGTTTTTTGAACACACTTGTACAGCTATTTTTTTTTGTTACAAGCAAAACAAAACGAAAATAAAAATATATATTAAGAGCCAGTGTTGTAAGGTATTGTGAAGGCAAAGGGAAATTAAAACTAGTTATGTATTTTTAAACAAGTGACACTAAACCTATATATACAAACACATTGCATGTTTACTACAAGATTATTTTTGCTAAACAGTTGTATATATTGATGGAATAATGTTGAAATATCGACTGTAAGTGATGATTTTAATACGGTTCGAATTTCGATAATGTAGCTCGTGGAAGCTGTGCTTCCATTAACCTCATAAATACAAAGTGCACTGACCTAGGCGCTTGATTTCAGCACACCTAAGTGGCGTCGCTCCGTATTAGGCGATGGTGAAAGAGTTTCGCATACGTTGTAACAACAGCCAGAGCGGCCATGCACGGTCTTAACATCCAGTCCCCCAACCCCAGCACTCCAAACCTGATTAATTATACTGTAGCATTTGCAGAAGGTTAAGTAAATGGTGGCCTGATTTTCACTAACTGGGTGCACAGGTGCAAAATGTAGATGGGCCATTGTGTGTGTTTGTGTGCACCCAAGAGCCCGTGTGTGAAGGTTGCTGCCCCCATAACCCATCTCAAACTTTCGCATTGGTGGTTGCGAGCCCTGCGCATCGCTTTGATAACTGCGCCATTGCGAGTAAAACACAAGGTGGCTTGCTGGTTCGAGATCATGGGACGACCAATGCAACTGCAATGCTGGCAAGCACTTTGTAGAATGTCACACTGCCCTCTTGGTTATATTTGCCCCAAAGTGTTTTTGCTGGCTGCCAAACGTAACCCGGGAGCATAGCTGGCAGTATTCGTGATATTTTAGGTGAAATGCTTCGAGTCTCGAATGTTTTGGCCGTGCTCCACATAAGAACAAGGCAGGCCAAATGTGGTTGTGAATGTGACGGTTATACTGTAACGCTAATGTGCAACTTCATAGGCACTCTCTCAAGATCACTGGTTCATGTTTTAATTCCTGCATTTTTGTCCCACCATTAGCTCTTGTTTTTGAGCTGATAAACCATTAAGACAAATTGAAACATGCTTTGAAAATCAACAATGTTTTGGACATGTCAAAGTTGGCAGCCATTGCAATGTGTGCCGTGTATTATAGTGATAGACACGGGAATGAGCGGGCAGTTGTTGGCACGAAGCATTTTACCATTTTAACATCCGCTCCTAACTTGTGCAGCATTGAGCAACATCGGTTGTGCGTGCCACATTGATGCTTGACCACTGTGCGAGGTGTCGTTTAAGGCTTGCGGCCGTGCGTTTTGATGTTCTGTGCTTTCTGCGTTTTGAATGAATATACATGAATGCTCCTGCAACCGGGGAGCGTTTGGTTCAACACGTTAACAACCACTCCAGTGTTGTCTGGGTGTTATGCAATCATCCCCACTAAGAAATAACAGGCGTGTATATTTGTGCAATAGCGTTACGTAAGATGCATTGTTGGTGACCAGCATTTTATACATGTAAACACAACGGCCCTTTAAACTGAAACGCGCAGGTTTGTTGGGGTTAAAAACAAAAAAAGTGCCAGTTCCATCAGGTAGCGTCACCGTGTTTTAATTTCGGTTTCCGCTTTACGGTGGCGGCGGTGGTTTTGTAACGGCTCGAACATTGCCACGTTTGTGCAAACAACGTTGCTTTTTTGGGTTGCAGTTTTTTTACAGTGAACCAAGCCAACAGTCGCGCTAAAGTGCTCTCCATCTGGCAGACCCCCCCCACCTCCCTAACCCGGTTTGTCATGACTTCCCCACGAGTCGTGATTAGGCAGTGGGAAATTAATGTACTGGTGGATAAAACCATTTGTGGATGCCACATTGCTTTTACCGCCACTTTTAAAAGGCAACACTTTGATTCGTGGCCAGATCTTGTTGTGCTCTGCACTTCTTCCCACTTCCGTGGTATTGTGGAACTGTTCACGGACCGATTCGTCAATTGATGCCATGCGGCAGCCGTACGCTTGCCGTCACAACTAAAAGAAAGTGTAAAAGTTATTTGAAACATTTGTGATTGACTGGTCTTTACAGGATTCCATTCAGCCACTTGTGCCACCTGCTATCATTTGCAGTTTATACACGCAGTGGACATGAAGTTACGTGGGTCCACCGAACAGATATGCCACAACCAATGTTCTCGTGGCAGAGTACCGTACGGTGTTGGCTGTGGGTGTTTGTGTGCAAGCCATTGCAGAGATTTGTAGAGAACATTTTCCGCTATTGGATAATTTCCATAGCTACATGCATTGCTTTTGGGTTCTTGGTTGGAAGCACAGATGCAGTTAATTTAATCTTTGGCGGTAACCTCAGATGGAAGTTTTTTTTTAAGGATTCCCCTCCATGAAGATGGGGTCATGCAACATCGAGGTTTCGGCATTTTTTTCCGACAGTGCATTTGTCGTGAACTTTTCCTGCTTTAAACGTTCTTAAAGGAAGCACACACAGTTCTATATGCTGTATTCTTGCATATTTTGTTTTAAAGCGGTGAAACACTTACATAGGACTGGCCATGCGTCATTTTTAAGGTGGATATTCACGTAAAGGATCCCTTGCTGTGTTTTTGCTAAACTCTATAATATGAAGTTGCGTGATTAATGCACTTGGTTTTGGTTTTTGATTTTTGTAATGCGTCATTTTACTATGCAATGTTTCCCTTGTGCAGCGCTGGTAAAGATCATCGCAGCCTGGGTGTACAATGGAAAGCCGACGCGTGTTTATTGTACGGCAGCTGATAATTTGTGCAGGAATGGCAGCAGGTAGGATTTACCGCTAACGCGTGGCAATGCAAAGACATACGTTTTGTAGACCAAGAGCTATTATGCCTATCAGACCTTAGATATCAAGCGATAGGTTTTAATGTGGCTTTTTCCATTTTTTTTATTTTGTACTAAGTGTTTAACATTAAAAAACAAACCCCAACAAAAGCAATTATATACGAAAAAAGGAAATAAAAAAATATCAGTTCTAGGCACCCTAACGGGCAATTTAATATATAAACATTTACGTAAATTAGTAAAGTTAATAAAATAGAAATTAAGTCACCGGTACTGTTTTATTCATGAGTTGTTTAACCGCTTAATTCTGCGCATTGATACGTTCTTGTGAACTTGACTCGAAAGCAATGGTTTGCAAGTCGCCACTGTTTCGCGTAAAACACGCGGCGCTGTGGTGGCATTGCGCGCCGTGGGCGGTGTGGTGAGTATAATGAATCCAGGGTTGTAAAATAAGAGTGCCTGGTTGCCTCGTATGCTTGAATTTGTATCTGTGATGTGGCCAGTCCAGTTCTGAAAAAGCGCCGGCGGATGAAACACAACTGTATTTTCATTGTTATTGTGGTTATTTTAAAAAACACAAAGACAAAAAATAGTTTTGCTTAACATCCTTTAGGAATTTTACATTGTGCACATTGTGTTTTTATTAATATTATTTGAATTTGCACATGGTTGAAGTTGCGAGTATAGCACTATGTACCATCTACATTACTAGCATGGAGAAACCTGGGTTTGTACAACTGTTCTTAAAACGTACACGGCAACCTCAAAACGAGACTCGAGCCAAACGAAACAAAGCTGTGCAAGGGCAGGCCTTGTTACTCCACCCCATCACAACCGATGTCAAGGACCTAAGGATTTGGGCAAGGCCTTTCCCAAATATCCCCCATTTTAGGTGCCTCCCTGCATGCTCGCCTGCCTCTAAAACGTTCTTTTTGCATTCAAGGGCCACACTTGGTGTAAGGAATCTCTCAAATTCCATCATGGGGTCACTACTTCCAAAACAAATTTGTGGATCACTGCCTCCCAAACTTTGGGACAAGTATGGCCTTAATCTGGGACCTACTGTAGATTCTAGATGCATTCCGACATGTGCATAATTGACCGTGCTGTTTGAGAGGGTGAGATGCAGTTTTGCAGGGTTTGATTGGCAGATGGTACTGGTTGAGAAGCCTTTTAAGGGCTCTTTTGGCTGCCATTATTGGGTTTTTTTATAATTCGGGAAATTTGAACCGTTCGTGAGGGGTGTGATATTACAGCAGAATTCAAGTGTTTTTGCTCCAAATGAATTTCAATATTTGGTGATCGTTATATCAGTTTTTTTTTCTTGGAGAGGACAATAAAATCGACAAATTTCCAAGTTATAAAAACAAAAGACAATTAATGCTCGTGCAAAGCCTCGGAGCCATATTTGCCGAAATGTATCAGTCTTATTTATGCTTTACCGTATGTACTTTGTGATGGCCCACATGGAATGATGCCACATCAGATTGCAGGGATTTTAACAAGTCGCATGCTTGGCATTTGTTCAAAAGGAAGTTTTTCAGTCTGTTTTAGCAAGTGTGCAACTTGTCTACGGTGCAATTAACCTGATAATGGATCGAACGAGTTATTGTTTTCCTTTTTGTAGAATATCAAATGGTGGCCTGTAACAGCAACGAGTAATACCTGGAGCAGTTCTCCAGTGAATATTTGTTTTTTAATCACAAGACGGCGGATGATACTGTGGGGTTTGCAGTTTGGTTCTTGGCAAATGCTTCCAATAATTGAAAGCCACAAACATTTTATTTAATTCCCATGATTTCAGGGAACATTTGTGACCATTGTAGTTGGGTTTAAATGGGCCCTGCTTCCATCGCGCATGACCTTGTAAAGAATTTCACAATATTCTTTTTAAAAAGTTTCAAAGTAATAAAATTAATGTTTTTTTACACAGCGTGATAAAAAATAATAGTACAATACATGGACATTTATTAATGCTCCTTTTTTACTTAATGTTGAGCGTGAATTTGAACAGTCAGTGTTTTAGTTTACTGCAGTGGAAGGAGCACATCCGTTGTAACAAAGCAGTGTTGTTTTATTCTTCCATTGCAATGTTTTAAAATCCTACTTAACGTAACATTCCAGTTTTTAACAAAGGTTTTTTTTCGGAGGGACTTTATGCACTAAAGCTGTTCATGCACATCCACTCATGGTGCTGTGGACACCAAAACTGAAAACAGAACAGATTATTGAAATGGACAGCAGTTTTGGGTTTGTGGGAGAGCTCTTATTGTCGGCTGGGTTGGCAGGGTTGTTACGATAAGGGGTAGTAGTCGGGGTAGTTGATTTGCGTGTGTACTCCATCCCCAAACTGCTTGCCCCCTCCTCCCTATTTCAGTTCATGGCTGCTTTTGATTTCTGATATTTGGAGCGCCTGAAAATGAGAGGGCATCCCAAATCTGCATCACGTGCCACCGCACGGACAAACCAAAAGTTGTCTTTGTATTCCGGTTCTGTACACAGGGACACCGTGTGACAGTGTGTAACGTTATTAATGTTCAATTGCCAATAAAAAAAATCTGTTTCAGTTTGAATTTACCACATTTTTGTTGTCTACGCTCGTTATTTTGATCGTTGGCAACACACACACACGGGTAAAACAATGCATTGACGGCAAGGATTGGTGAATTCTATAATTTTGTGAAACTCAAATGTGAGGCTTTGTGGAGGCTATATGGCTGAATTTATTTTGACGCCTATGACCAAATCACATGGCATGATCTCGTCGGGTTTTATAAGGTAAGCACGTTTCAGCCTGGATACATGTTAATGGGTGGCCAACTGACTAGACCAATATACACACACACGGTACTTCAAAAAAATGTTAACATTTATATGGGACTCGTTTTTAATGGGAAAAGAACGGATAATACACTAACATGATAACAAATGTATGTTAATAGTTTCGATTGAAAGCTTTCGTGACTGCAGGGATTCGTATTCTTGGTTCTTTCGGTAAAGTCACGTAGAAGGGAAATAATAAAATAATAAAAATTTTACTAAATTCTCACGACGTTTCGATTGCTTGTGTGAAACCCACTGCTGTGGTTTCAGACCACTGCTATGGATTTCACACCTGATGATTGCTTGTGTTGCAATCGAAACGTCGTGAGAATTGTATTATATTTTATTATTTCCCTTCTATGTGACTTTACCGAAAGAAACAAGAGTATGTTAATAGCTTCAAAAAGTTCAGTGTCCACTTATTCCCTATTATTGTCGACACGTGCCTGAAATCTTCTCCCAGGTGGTCTCCAGAGCCTGGAGGCTGCACGTTTATTGTACTGTTGCAAACTCTCAGAAGTGTTAACATTGTTTTGAATCGCCCTGTATAAACCTCGCCTGAACTACTCCCATCTGTTATGTAACCATAACAAGAATGCCACTTTCAGACACTAACTTATGTAGAATTGTTGGAAAGCGCCTTTGAATAAGGCGGTATAACACATTCCTGCGGAGGGAGCTGATAGGAACGTTGGGTTGCTCGGTCAATGACCAGGCTCAACGGCGGCGTGGTGTATTCCGCAAATATGCCCGACTGAGGGCGGGCACAAGCCGGCGTGAGTAGGTTAAACGTTGAGTTTTATAAGGGCACAACGGGGTGACCAGCCCCTCCCCACCCTCCCTTCTCCACCCAGCCCCACCCCTCCCATTTTTGTATGCACGACGGACGGACACAATAATCCCCTGTGGGCTGGTGTAACCAGGAGGTTCCTACCAGTATTAAAGAGGCTGCTATGGGAGTCACAGCAGCAGAAGGCAATTCGTCTACATTCGTTGTACTGCACGATGCTTGCTGCCTTCAACTCGTACGGACTAGTTGCGTGAAGCATGGTCCATTTAGACATGGTGTGGGGCGGCCCTCATCCAGCAGTGGATCGGGGGTTGTTCATGTATTGAAGAGAGTGCAGCAAATACGTTGCGTAACGAGACACGTTTATTGCATCATCCCCTTTCGCATGACATTTTCTCTCACTCAAATTTCTACAAATGGTAAGCTGAAAATCGTACGATTCCTCTTGTATGACATTGCTTTTTTCTGTAATGTATCAATAATGTCTTGCATCACTAGAATTTCATAATTTACAAATTTAAACTAATTAGCATTTTCCCAATTTTGGACGATTCATCGGACCGGCTCTCTTATTAAATTGATCTTATGAGCCCGAACTGTTAAAGTTCATCCTCAAATATAAATCGCTTTCATTGTATAGTCCATAATGGACGAAGACATTGAAGATGTTGGCGTATGACGACGGGGGGGCCGTCCATAAATGACGTCATGCACCTGGGGGGGGTGGGGGTCAAACATTTGTGACGATGTGTGACGAGGGGGGGGGGTGGGAAATGTGACGTCACATCAAAATGCGCAACTTTAAATAAACAGGCAACACATTCTACTTAATTAAATAGACTTTTTAATAAATGTTTTCTTCGACAACATCAGAGTGCAGCGCCACAGTTCATACGCACTACAATGACAATAGTTTAAAGCGATTTGAAGCATGTTTTATATATTTCATTGGGGGAGGGGGCAGAGCTTTGTGACGTCATATTTGAGGGGGGTTTCAGTTTAATTTATTAGGATTTACCCTGTGAGCCATTTGGCTCTTGATTTGGGTTCAACCGCAACAAACAATAAAATTACAAGATACACCTAAAATACATTGTACACAAATCTAAACATCACATACGTAAACAATAAAATCCTGCAGAAAAAGCACAACCCGTCCATGCTGCGTACAGAAAGTGCAAAAAATTCCATTTCAGATAAAAATTGTAAGTATAAATCTATACTAAATAAAAAAATCGGGCCAAACCAAGCCCCTCTAAAACGTACTAAAACAATGTTATATAAACAACGTAACAGTTTTCCCAACAAATGTGATTACAAGTTTACAATAGCGACACACACAACACACATCACTAAACCCAGCATCCCTCGCTAGCTGCATAAGTCGATCCATAACGGCCGAATTAACAATTGCAGTAGCAGCGCACTATAATCAATATAGACTAGCTGTACTACCCGGCTTCGCCCGGGACTTGTATCCACCACGGCCGGCCGCCTTTGTCTCCCCAGTGGCGATGTTAATACGCCACAGCAGTTACTCGTTTGAGGCAGAGTCGACCTAGGGGAGGTTCAAATAATGGTCACCGGTGGTGGCCGTGAGCGGGAATGGAACTGGGTTCGCCGGGTTGGTAGCGCAGCGTAGCGTTAACCACTACACCCACCGCTCCTCACACACCACACACGCACAGACACACACACAGACACACACACAGACACACGCAGACACACACAGACAGACACACACACACAGACACACAGACAGCACGCTAACCACTACACTACCGCTCCCCACACACCACACACGCACACACACAGACACACACACAGACACAGACACACACACACAGACACACACACACAGACACACAGACAGCACGCTAAGCAGTACACTACCGCTCCCCACACACCACACACGCACACACACAGACACACACACAGACACACACACACAGACACAGACAGCACGCTAAGCACTACACTACCGTTCCCCACACACCACACACGCACACACACAGACACACACAGACACACACACAGACACACACACACAGACACAGACAGCACGCTAACCACTACACTACCGTTCCCCACACACCACACACGCACACACACACACAGACACAGACAGCACGCTAAGCAGTACACTACCGCTCCCCACACACCACACACGCACACACACACGCACACACACAGACACACACACAGATACACACACAGACACAGGCAGCACGCTAAGCACTACACTACCGTTCCCCCTACACAACACACGCGCGCGCGTCCATAGGTACACATACACGCGCTTGCTGCAGACACACACGACGTATGTATGTGTGTGTATGTGTTTGTGTGTATGTGTGTGTGTATGTATGTGGGTTTTTTTGTATGTCTTTATGTGTATGTCTGCGTGTCTGTATGTATGTGTGTATGTACGTGTGTGCATGTGTTTGTGTGTATGTATGTGAAGTACTCTTGAGGACGCGTGGACAACGGGGTAAGGCACACGTATTTATTTGCACAATGTCTTTACAGCACTGGAGGGATGTATCGGCCCCCTCACCCGTACAACTGGGAATTCACCCCTAGCTAGCCTTCCTAGCCGAGTCCTCCGCTAACGGGCTAGGGGAGGCTGTCTGGCCCGACACTGGTCAGTCGGGCTACGGTACCCGGAATCCCAGAGGTCTGACTGGTTCCGGGACCACGCCACTGGCTCCAGCCTGCACTGCCCTTACAAGGGCGGCGTCCCAGGGGGAGTCCAGGGCCTATCTGGCCGGTCTTCTCTCTTCCCTTAACTACACTAAGACTGAGCCCCGAGCTCTCTGGCTCATCCCTTTTTATACCCCCCTAGAGGATCGAAACCCCCCTCACGCCGTCCAGTGCGGACGTCGTTGCGGGCACCACCCCGTGTGCTCACGGAGTCCCCGCCCACTGTGTTTGTTATCCGTTAGCCCCTATGCAAACAGCCCTACACAAACAGGCCCTCTGTAACAGCCCTACATCACCCCCCCCTGTACAGCTCGCAGCCGTCCCGGCTGCAACAACTTTTAATAAAAGTTATTTAACCCCTGGACCCCCGCGTGTGCCTTAAAAAAACGTTTTTAACGCTAACATGAAGGAAACAACAGCAACAACGACAACAACAACAACAATGACAACAACAAAACCCTCAACCCTGAAAGGGGACAATCCGACGCACCCCCCCTGAATAAATACGGATACCGTAAGAACAAGCTATATACAATTTGCAGCGAAGCCACCATACACACAACAGCAGGTGAGCACAACGTATGTGAATTCAATGGGCAGGGAACACACCCCCCCCCACACAACACACAATGAACACAACATATATACACATCTTGCGGTTTCACAACAGTCTGCGCATTTTTGCGCGTGTCCTTGCGGCGGGCCCCTCACACGGGGAAACCCCGGGTGGCGGACCGTCAGGTGGTAATCGTCCGTCCCGGAGTGAGGCCTCCTCTGATGCCTCGTGACTGTTGGTATCCCCAGAAGGGGTGGTCGGGCGTGAGCCCGTCAGTCTCGATGCACCTGGAGGTGGCACGGCCGGCAAGGCATTAGGTGAGCGCGGTGGAGACGGACCTAGTGAGTCGGTCGACCCCCCACACGTCTGGCCACGCATGTGTGAAGTGGGTTTGTGTACCGCGACGAAAGGTTTCAACCGAGAGGGGTGCACGAACCATCGCCGCTTCCCCCAACGAATGCGCACGCACTGTGGTCGCAAGACCTCGACCACTTCCACAGGGCCCCGCCACGGCCGCGCCAGCTTAGGGGAGGTAGCCAGGGGTACTTGGGGACAGTGCAACCATGCCCTGTCCCCCGGTTTCCACTGTATGACATGCGCCCGACCCAACCTGAGGCGCTCGTTCGCCTTTTGACGGAGGTCCGAGTTCAACCTCGCAGCATCCCGCGCCTCTGTTAATTTAGCCAGATTAAATTTGACGTGGTC